CAGAAATATCTCTGAGAAAAGCGTTTTTGATTTTGGTTTAGTTGTTGTAAGAACTGGTTTTGTATTTAAACTAGAATAATTTTTTAAATTCAATTTTAAAACAAAGAAAACAACAAGATTTTGAAAACATCACTGTTTTAAATTAAAATGTCTGATGGACTCACTTGATTTATTTCTTCTGTTCAGTACCATCCAACTGTATAATTTTTTAGTAAATGATTTGACAAGTAACATGTTCACTGCCAATACTTATTAAGATTTCATGACTTCTTCCTTCCATCCTTCATGATAGTAACTTCATTGTCAACTTGGAGTTAGAACAGTTTAACAAATCTTTTTTCAAAATGATCTTTCATATTCTTCACAATAAACCAGTATGAACAGCTGAATAACTTACAATACAAACAACTCCAACTTAAAAAAGGGAACTCAAAATGTTAATGAAAATGGATACAATACTTATTTCTTTTTTTTTTGTTTTGTTTTTTTGAGAGAGAGAGAGAATTGAAACTCAATTATACTACCAAGGTGTGCCACATTTTTACTCCCATCAACAATTTTCACTTGGATAATTTAAATGCAGAAAGAAATCGAGCATTTTTATTGTAAATTCATTCAGTACCTTAATCAATATTTGTGTGTATTATGTAATGTTTTCAATTTAATAGCTTTTGTACACATCTTTCAAATAACCTTACACTTTAAAAATTATCATGACTATTTGCCCAAACATCTCTGAGATTTGATGAACAGGGAGGTAAAAATAGTGATTGATTAAATGATATTAATTACATTTTGCTTTCAGCTTTACTCGCAAATCAAGAAACACTGTAACATTTGAAAATTCCAAGCCATTCTTCAAGCTTAACCAGTTAAAAAAACTGTCTCATACCAAACACAGTCAACAGCACAAAATAATTACGATCTCATCCATTGTGATGTTACTGGCTACTACGTCTTTGAGTAAATCTTTCTGCAACTCACTCTACCAGTCTTTGAGCGTATATTAATAAATTCTTATTAAATATATCAGGGCGGGTCCAAAGACAAATTTTGGGAGAGGAAATTCAAAATGTTTTGGTCAAAAATTAAAAATTTTGCAAAATGTTGCAAGCAACACTCAGCTCATGTTGCAATATAATTTTATTCATTTCAACGATTATCTGAAAATATTTTTGCTTGAAAGTTTCATGACAAGTTAAAATGAATAATTCCTGATGCACCCCCGCCCCTGCTTTTCCCCTCATTTCGCTCCCTCTGGATCCGCGCCTGAATACATGAATATATTTTACAATGCAACTATCATTAATAATTTTTTCACCAGAATTTGTAGCCAGTAAATATTTGTAAAGATATACAGCATGTAAATTAAATAAATCTTAAATCGATAATACTCGCATGAAATGCATTACATGTACAACTCCTGATTTCCTGTTCATTGAAGAGAAATGAAAAGTCAGATCTGAAGATCTTTTATTCTTAGACACTTCTTACTGTGATGTTGCAGAATTTCATGTATAACACTCCAAATCAAATGCCCATTCATTAACACTATTTTTATTTGTTACTTAAACTATAGAGGCTATTTCAAAGAAATTAAAGTTTTTTTAACAAATAAAACTTGCTTAAAATGAATTGACCCTTCTGAAATCTATTAATATTTCAAATCTGATAGCTTCAAATGATACAAAAATAGTATATACTGTAATATTTGGTTCGTCAATGTCTATTGCCTTCCCGCCATAGAATACATAAGACTCTTCAAGATAGAGAAGACAAAAGCTTAATACATACAATTCTATAAAATTAAGCAATGTCCTGTAGTGCGAAAGAAGGCTGGGTGAAGGTATTGCGTTCAGAAAGTTTTTTATGCAAAGACTAACTGACAGACCCACTAAACTTCAATAATTTAGATAAATTATTAATGTAAAGCTATAAGGTATGCAATAATGACTATCACTCCTTTTCATTTTTTACATACAATTTTTAGTTTCCAGAATAAATCAATCAGCAGGTTCCTAGTTTTCTCATTATTAGTTTTTAACATCATATTAATCCAACAACTGATGCATAAATAACAATCTTGGAAGCATTTTGAATTTAAAATAGTTGTCAATAAAACCAATGGCATTAATGTAGCACCTGACTGTTTCCATGCAATTGATTGTGTACAAAAAACATTTTTCCTACAATTACCATCCCCTTTTTAAGGTTATTTATGCAATTAACTGTTTTCACAATATATTAATACAACAGGTATACAAAGTAGTAGTGTATTAGAACACCAATATGAAAAATGAGGAACCTGTTGCTTGAGTATTTCGGAAAATTGGCCACAATGTTAAAACCTCAAGAAATCAAAACCTAATTTCAGAAAGAACATACGTTGCTGAAACGAATGTATTATTGAAAATTCCTTCAATGGTATTACTTGGCTGACTTTTCCATTTAAAACGTATCAGATGTCATTCACGAGACTTTTCACTCAGAAAGAAGAACATTTTCTGATTTCATGATCAAAGCAGAAGCTTAACAAACCAAGTTTACGTTTCTCAGAATTATTTCACCTACAAACAATAGAATGGAATATATGACTCAAAGAACATGTATGTACATTTCCAACATTATTAACCATTAAACTGAAGGTCATGAAAATAAAGAACTTTGTCTCAGAAGCATCAATTTTTACATGCAAGAGGCCTTTTTAAATGGCATATCATTTGTTAGGAACTGAGCATTTCGAGTCATAATCCACAAACACAGAAAGGAAACTAATACTACTACATTTCTTCAAAAGACGAATGAAATAGCAAAAATTTCAGCAAGAATTCAGTGGTTCCTAATCTTTATCTCTTGACAGAGCCCATTTGAAAACCAAACTACATTGACAAACTCACTGTGAATTAATTTTTGAACTCACATCAAAATCAATAAATCTGGGTTGTTATTTTTTTCTATATTGCATAACAGCTCATAACAAAACACTAAATATACATCATGAAACATTTACACAAGACAAACAATAAAATTAAAGTGATTCCCTAACCCACGGAAAACAAATACAATAAAACTGCATAACTGTAAAGCTGAAGACAAAATTGGAAGTATTTTTGTTGTCAATAAATACCAACTAGTTCTGAGCAGAGCTTCAATTTTTTTTCATTTGAATTAACATTTAAACCTTTTTCTTTCTTTTTTTATTTCATCGATTTTGATTTTTCAAAACCCCCAGTTGGGAACCACTGACTTACTGAAAATAATTATTTTTTTCATTAATGAACATGGAAACATGTTTTTAGAATTGAATTTAACTTAAAAATGTTCAGCATATGACTAAGATGTATTAAATAAACATGAAATGAGGGTTTTCTGCTCCAATACTTCAAATAAACCATTTGTGGACAATTGTTTGAATGTCATATTTTGCTTTTCCTCCCCATTTTAATAAATACTGAAGTTTCTGATAAATATAGTTTCAACTTATTAAAAGAAAGTGGAATTTTTATACACAACCTGACAATAATGGTTCATAATTGCAAATTATTTTTGAAAGTAAATATTAGTGTACATCACACAACTACACCATTCTTCTATTCCACTCCCAATAAATCTTTGAAAATGAGACAGTGAAAACAAGACAGTGTTATGCATCACAACACAATATTCAAAAATCAAAAATTTTTAGTTAATGGAGTGACTGAGGATGAACTGAACTTACAAAAAAATCAGCCATTTTTCTTTTCAATTAGCAATAACATTCTAAGAAAAAGTAAGCAGAATCCCATTAGAATACATAGGATTCTTAAATTTCTAAAGTGTTTTTTTTCTCACAATGTTGACTATGTCACTGCTGTCTGAATTATAACACAGTCCATGGAAGTCCTTAGTTAAGATTGTCTGTTTTTCCTTAGAGTAAACTTCTCCCATAAAAATTAAAAATTATCTAGGGAGACAGATTAGGGGCACAACTTCTACATAACATGGTCTTTAGGACACTTTTTAACTTTATAAGACTGCATTAAAATAAGACTTTGTCTTCAGTTCTCAGAATGTGTAAATTTATTCCTAAACATGCTTTAAAGTGAGCAAGAATTATCAACATCATTTTCAATAACTGCAAATTATCTTGTTTACACATTGGACTAGTAACACTTTCGATGTATAAAAAGCATTTATAAAAGACACAGAACTCTTTGATGTTGAAAGTCTCATTCTAAAACTATGGATGAAGAAAAAACGTTTAAAAAAGGGTAGATTCAATTGTAACATTTCGTTTATGAACTGAATAAGTATGAAAGGAACTACAATACACCAAAGGATTTATAATACCTACCAAATTGTGCATCACACTTACTCAAGGAGCATGTGAATCAAACGCTATAATTCACTGATTAATAATTAAGGAAATAATGGTAACTTGACAGACTGACATCCATGATGAAATCACAGCCAAGCACAATTTCAGGAGAGTCACGAGGTGGATGACAGATTTCATTTCTTTATCTTCAATGAAAATTCACATATTAGAATATTTCTAACACACAAGACTATTTGTTTACAAATAACAAAAGGAAAGAAAAAGAAGAGACCAATAAACAGCACGTCTTGGCCATTCTGAAAGACATTCTTATGAACCCACAAACGCATAACAATCACACTCAAAAACAGATACGCATACATACACACACCTTTTCAGTCAACTTTACATTTGATAGAATAATGTTGAAAATTGTGAAAGCACCGAACTCTGGCTTGTGTTCCTTGCTTCAAAGTAGAAGACAACTCTAACATTAGATAAACAGAGACAAATTGAGCTTCTTTAACACCATATTTTAGGGGGGCAGGGTGCTAGTGGAATAACATTTAATACTGTTTTATTATTTTCATTACTATTGCACAAAGGACAGCTGCATATACTTGCAAGGAGGTAAACATTTATCACTGATGCAGAGCTAGCTAACACTCTGAAGCAACGTACACAAATTCGACACGTGTGGTGCTCACTGTGTTTCACCAAATTCAGCCTGGTTGATCAACTGCTCTTCTTCTAGTCTGACGCCCATGGGTCCCAGTAAGTTGGTGGAGGGGCCAGCCCCACCCATTTGTGCCTTATAAGAAGCTAGAATGTTTTTCATTGCATTCATATCAATGTTCACAGGCTTGAAATTTTCAGCATCATCAAAGCTGTCATCTGTTTCGCCTTTCATTTTGTCCTCTTTTTCAGACTTTTCAAAGCTCTGGCCAATAGTTGTTGAGGCAAGCTCTCTGTCCATCTGGTCCATGTACTGCTTCAACTCAGACTCTGAAGTTTTCATTTTACGCTTGCCACGTTTCAGTTGATCTAAATCCATGTCCAATTCATGCTCATAAGAACTCATGCTAGATGCATCAGATTCCAAATCCCAATTGTCCTCCGGAACAACAAAATCAAGAATGTTCTGTACAGCACAGGAGAAGGACTCTGGATCAAAATTAATTTTATTTCCTGTGTCTTGAGATTCTTCACTTACTTCCATGGCTTTTGATTTTTCAGCATTTCGTTTCGCCTTCCTCGGTGGTGGGGTAGGATGTTCAGCACCTTCCAGTTCAGAAACATGACTCAAGAACTTTGAAAGATGACCAGTGATATTTGAAGAAGCATTATCACCAAGTGAAATCCTTTTTGATCCATAGCGTTCTTCCAACATTTTGTCCAATTCCTCTGGATTCAATTCTAGCCATAATTCATCACTTGGAGGTGCTAGATTACTCTCTTCCTTTTTAAAATCCTCCATGCTGTATTCTGTACTCTGCAAGAGATGAAGAATTTCTGTTGAATATGACAGTTCAACATCTGAAGCATAATGACTAGTGAAATATCGCTTTGCTTTTTCTAGTAAGACATTATAGTCTCTAGAACCTTCCAACAAATCTTGGAAATAGCCGTATTTCTTCAAACTTTGCAAATAATGCAGCCAACGAGGATTTCCTGATAAATCAACTTCTTCTTCATCAGGAGTAGACCGCATTCCTTTCCCTTGCTTTGCTACTAAGATTTCAAATCCGCAAGCAAGTTTCATTCCTAGACTATGGGATTTGTAATCTGGATTACTTTGTGCAGGAAGATTCCAACCAGATCGTTTGTCAGGGTTATATGAATGATGCAATATCATGGCATACAAGCATTTTGTGAATAAAACATTTCGCATCACTCTGTTTTCTGGAGGGAAAAACCTCATAGCACGACATACTTTGGCATCCAAAGGTTCACGATTACAAAATGCCATGACAGCTGGGGCAACAAGGTTCGGTTTGGCATTGAGCAATGCAGCTACACCTACCGGTACATATGCATGTGTCTGATGGAGCAAATCTTCAATTTTTGCTGGGTACCCCTTGACTCTGGATTGAATTGCTTGCTGAATACCTGCATCTGCTCTGGTACTAGTGGGACTCGATAGTACAAGACTTACAGCTTCTGGTACAGAGGGGGTCTGTGGTTCTGTCTCCGACTCTTCAAATGGGATGAGATGAACTTCGCCCCTATACAGATACACCCTGCGGTCGCACCTTTCAGGAACCGCCCATCGAGGTAAAAAATCAGCAGCTTCAATCAAAAGAAATTCCCCATCTATATCTACCACCCTGATAACAAGACTTTCGATTTGCTTTGTTAGCTCAAGCAATAGGAATACAATGAACCACTCGTCTTCTATGTTATCCCCGAAATGTGTCCTTCCGTACAGATGCGGGGGGAACTGTCCATCTTTTGTATCTTCTGTCGAACTCTTTGTCACAACATTGAACGCATCGTGGTGCCAAATGTATTGATGAACGTGAGGAGCGATTAGGGCTTGCACGTCACAACACTTGCTTTGAAGAGCATCTTCGACTTCTGGATTTACTTCCGCATTCATGAATTCTTTAAAAAACAGGTAGTACTCAATGCAGTCCTCATCACGACCTGTTTCAACCGCACCCGCCATGCCGAGACGCTTACGATTCGGAAACACAATTTTTTTATGAATTCTGTTGTTCCCGGTCCCCTGGCGTTCACGCAACAGACAGCGACATCTCTCTGGACATTTTTCAAGTAAAAGGCGGGCCGCAAGAACTGTATTTTCTATCGATCCTAATATACATACAACCAGTTTATTTTGCTATGTCTTATAAAAGAAGTTTACAGACCCGAAATATATGCGCAGTACTAAAAAATATATAGTACTGAAAGTCTAAAATAAATGAAAAATACATAGTACTGAAAGCCTAGTGTGCACTGGGTCGGTACGGTACGGACGAACAGAAAGAAGGATGGGATGGGGATTCTTTTCAATTGTTAAATGTATTGTTAGGCCGACACAGTTGGGACACAGTTTATTAATAGACTGTGATTGAGAGGAATAGACGATCCATACCTTTCTTCGTTTGCAAAAAGTTTGAAGAAAACATCTTTTGGGCATTCCCGTAGTGGAAATAACACCATGATCCGTATCCACTATTCCCATGGTCATTTCCAAGACCCATATACACTGTGTATGGATATTACAATGTACATGGATACTACAATGTATATGGATCTTGGTTACCTTTATCCTTTATTGTTCTGTGTTTCCACCATGGTCTTTATCAATTACGTCATCGGCTAGTCAGCGCACATGCGTCGGGTTGTCCTTCCCGCCATTTCAGTTGTGTGGTTGGGTGTAGTGAACATGAATGTGTCCAATTTAGTTATGGTAATCCAATATTAATAATCAATAATGTTTAGTTACATAAAAAATATGAGAGATAATTCTATGAAATGGCTACGTAAAGGGTATGGTTGAGAAACTTGATGGCTATAAGACTCTTACTAAGCACTGCACTGTCAAAATGAAACATTTCATTCTTATCATTGAGGATATACCAAACAATTGCTGTTTAGGAATATTTAATTGCATATGCTTAATGCGGTTTTACTTATATTTTAAACGTACTTCTGCTACACGCTAGACTAATTTGTAAAATAGCTAGACTAATTTGTCTACCTCGCCAGGGGCAGATCCAGAGAGAAATTTTGGGACAGGAAACTAAAAATGTTTCGGCCAAATATGACAGATTACCGATTTTGTACACTGTCGTTGGATACACTCAGCTCAGGCTGCAATACAATTTTATTTGTTTTAATGATATTCCAAAAACATTTCTACTTGAAAGATTCGTGACAAGTAAAAATTAATCATTTTTTTGAGGGGGAATTTCCCTCATTTTCCTCCCCGTGGATCCGCATCTTCCTCACACAGTGGTTTATTTTCAAGTAATTGTTTCTAATCTTTTTACTTTCTAATCTTACTACGTACGTATTAAAAGCTGCAATTTTTCTTCCTAAAAACTTGTATTGAGGGGCCGTGGTAAAGAAGAAACGAATATATAAATCGTGTATACGAATTACTTCCTCTAACACGATCATTATATTCAGAATTCACGTTTGGGTGGACCTGGATACCAAAAACATTGGGAACAGGCAACACGCCTGCCTGCGCATGCTGGAAATGTGGTGGCCCGGTCAACTCTAGGGCATATACTGCGATTTATGCAAGTCTGCCCTTGGCAGGTTGACGGTTTCACACAATCGGGAGCTTGAACTTCACCCTAGTGACGTCACTCTGGTGACGTTCATGTACTCGATTGGATGAAACCGTCAACAGCTGATTCCTGCCAGGGGCAGGCTTGCATAAATCGTAGTATAAGGAGCCGTCCATAAATTACGTACCAGAAATTTGGAGTATTTTCATGTCCCCCCTCTCCTCCCTGTAACGCCCGCTTGAACCCTCCTAAATAATTACGTAACGCTGGTAACAACACCCCCCGTTGTAAATACAAGAATGAAAATAAATTATAGCACAGTAAAAACAAATTGTATTTATTTTACTTGTTGGACATTCAAAGTAATAATAATGAGTAGAAATTGGTTGTTCAAAATTGGACATTCAAAGTAATAATAATGGTTGGCAATGCTGGCTGCACCTAACAATAACTTACGGGCAAGTTGTGAGTGAAGGATGGGCGCAAGGGCGAGAAAATATTTTATCAGAAGCCGTGCACATGTTGACATGGATGTCGCTTGAGCGGGAGTCTACAGCGCCAATTTAAATGGATTCTAGTACTACGTATAAGTTTTTTCTACATACATTTTCTTCGAAATCTTACATATTTTATAAAAATATGTAGAAAAAATACTTCCACTCATTGTAACAATTTACGTCTAAGAACTTTAATTTATTTATACTTTGAAAACAAATTAAGTAGTTATTATTTTATTGTTTTAGCACATGACTCGAAAAATGAATTATTTCAGTAAATATTTAAAAATGTAAAAAAATAAATGTCAATGTTACGTAACAATTAAATAATACCCTGCCTCGGAACCCCTCCTTCCTCATTGGCGTCATGTAATTTATGGACGACCCCTAATCGATTCAGACACGATCTCCCAAATTTATATTCTCCGATCGATGTAAGCGAACTCAGGGGTCCTGCGAGTTTGAAGTGGATGTTTCGATTGTGGGAGTTACATTATAAAAAGTTCCGACATTTTAAAAATTCGGTATTCTTAAAAATGGCTCGAATATTTTTATTACAAGTATTCGTAATTTTCCTCCTCAGATAGGCTAAAAGCCCGTTTACAAAAGGGGCAAGTCACATTTTCGTTGAACTCTCTGAATGTTCAAACACTGCTAAAATTCACGGCGTCTTCATACAACTACGAGTAGACCTACAGTTTTGAAGAAACTTAATGAAATCTGTTGTTCAGAGATCTTGAAATAAAGTCAGTGAACAAATTGTCGAAAATATGAGTAGTTTTCACCTCATATTTAGTAAACGACGTTAACAGACTGATGTTGGTTCCATTTTCGAAATTTCAATCCCGCACCTAAACTATTCGTAGAGTGTCTTTCCAAAATGAATATTCCCCAGCTGATCTGGTCCGACTCAAGATCTGCATTTTTACTCATTTCTAGTCCTCACTGCCTAGTGAATGCGCCCGGGCCGCTCGCTGACACAATGAATCACAACCAAGAGTTCTGTCTTTCTGATACCCTCGCGTGGCCTTGCCCAATGCGGCTCTCGCCGAAGAGTGACGATGGCCCGGCGTGGAGCGACGCGGGGCCAGTATTACTCGCGCAACTTTTCTTGAACGATGACTTTGATTCCCCCTCTCTGACTCAATAAACAGTTGAAGACAAAAGTTCACAGCGAGCACTGATGACAGCATTCCACTTCTTTCACTGGCGCGAAATAGAAACTATTTTCTGTTGAAAACGGAATGTGATTTTCTTTTCAAAAAAATCTAAAGAAATTACCAAAGCGGGTGAAGATTCATCATTTGAGATACCTCGAACTCCTAGAAAAGTTAGAACGCACATTGTTGAGAAAGTTAGGAAGGCATGACTGATTCTCCAGAGATTGGCATTACTTCATAAAATCTAGTGGCCGATTTCGTAACTAATATCCCCATTCTACCCGCATTTCTTCAATCCATCGTTCAAGAAAAGTTGCGCGAGTAATAGATGCGTTAATTCAAGGCGTGCCCGTGCACCTTCCCACGTTCAGAGCTGGGAGGGAGGGGATTTCCCTAGGCCCTACGCCTAAGAGAAGCGACCCTAAGGTCGAATTCTGCGCTGACAACTGGGCAACTGAAGCTCCTCGCCTTTACTGCACGGCTGCCACGACTGAAACTCGTCACTGGGACAGAGGAATTAAAACACTTGCGGATGCATTCATTCCATGAAGAGTATATCGCGTTCCTCTGCCGATTGAATTACATTCGCAGAAATTCCGTTTTATAGGGTTTTTTTCTTTCCCCGCCGGACATAAAAAACCGTTCCGTTTCCGCGTTGGACAGATTCCGTTTGATGCTGTGTAAAATGCCATTTAACTTCACGAGCCTAAGAAATTTTCCGGTTAAGGCAAGTTTTCGGCTTGTACAGATACCGGTTTAAGCAGATTTTACGGTATTTAAATTTCTTGAAAGAAAAGAGTGAAATGCACCTATAAAGATGTCATATAAAAAAGATACTCGTATGGCAATTCAGTATGTCTGAATTTCACTGTTAATTTTAAATTTTGGAAAATTACAGAAATTTGATTTTTTTAGCATGTTCCTAAAATTACAAACTTCATAAGAGATTTTTTCTTCCAATTAAATGTATTCTCCACCATTAGTTCTATACTTAATGGCATGTCTATTGTAATGAAATATTGTACATAATCTGATTTTAAGATGTTTTTGAACAATAAGAATTTTTTAAGAAACAATATCAATCTTCAATATTGTAGTTGCAGGAAGACACAGCAAACAATTGTTAACATTTGTAGTTTTTGAAATATTGCGATTTCAACAAAAGTTAGACCAGTGTGTTTTTTAAGAGATCTCTATGCTATCTGAGGACAAATTTTAATAAAAAATGAATGCCATTTTAAAAAAAATTAATGGTGTTGTATCTTTATGTACAGTACTCCAAAAATTCATATATCCATATAAAATTCAGATTTTGAATTTGTTCAGATTGATCAGGGGTTTCGTAGAAAAATGTCTTGTATTGCTATTTATATGATTGCGTTACCTAAACATGAATATCTGATAGCATCATTTCTTTATATAATACAAAAATGTAATAAATGTTGGCCTTGGTTACCATACTGACTGCTCCATTTTGAAAGTGAAAATTTCAAGTTCAAGCAAAGTTCTATTTTGCTTCTGTCTTTTATAAAGTAAACAAGTGGCCATCTTGGTTCTTTCTTCACTTATAAAATTTGGAAAACAATTTTTTCCACTAAACCATCTTGTAATGCAATACTTGTGAGCTTGCCTCATTGTTGGCGAGTGCATTTTATTTGAATTATATTCATATTATCCGCTCCCCTCCCTCGATAATATTAGAGAGTGTTCCCTCTGAAATCTACTTTATTGAATGAATGATTCCATAGATAATAGGGTTTAACTGATATACCAGAAAATTCTATTTTTTTTACTCAAAAGAGCGAACCAACTTCTCAACAATCCATGCAATAGATTTTTGAATGTTCTCTGGAAAGATGATAATGCTACTTCAAATCTTGTATTGTTCAATGATACAGAACGTTCTTTGAAGACAGCTGTTGCATCACGCAAAGAATTACTATTAAAATATTTCTCTAGTCACTTCATGTAATGACCAGCAACAGTAACAAACTGTTCAAAATTCACAAACTTCCACAAAAGTTAGAGAAGGAATCATTTAATCAATCATAGTTAATTACTAATTGCTAGATTAAAATATGAATGAAACATGTTCACACAATTCCACAGCTAAAGGACTTCATAAAAGTTAAGTTTCTTCGTATTTGCATTCTAAAAATCATATCTCCTTCCCTTAATATCAACTTTTACAATCACATACACAAAAACACTTTGCTCCTTAAATTTCTGATGGTAAATGAACGCAAAAACTTCACTGTGGGCATGACTTTCTTCAAATATTCTCAGATTCCGCTCTAGGTCCCACTCATGGAAATTACAAACAATCTGACAAAGAAGAAATTAGCATAGATTCAGGAGGAGGGATAAACAAAACAACAAAAAGTATTTCATAATTTACTATGTTTCCTACATATTTTTTCTTTAAAATGCAGTAGACCCCTTAACACTCATGGACAAGAATACATATAATACCTGTAAGAACACATTAACTTGTGCCAGCAATTTGCTGAATTTTACAAGAGATTCATACCATATCTCACAACTTATTTTACACCATTCATGCAATACAAAAATTACACATTCCATTCTTAACTTTCATATATTTGATTGTTTTCTTTGTGCAAATACATGAAATAATTTTGCCCAATCAGGGGTGTACTGAATAATGAATTTGATGGAAAGTTAACACCTACAATAATACAATGTATCTTTTTAATGCTTTACATGTTCTACATACAACACATCTACAAATAATATTTTTTAATCCACTCTGTTAGAAGAATATTTATATCTATCATTTTTATTAGTATTATTTGATAACTTAAAATTACATAAGCACTTGCGTAACCTGGTTAGCCACACATTAAAATGACTTGTTTTGGTGAAATCTGTATTTTGTTTCCCAAGAGGTAACTATTATACTACTGAGTCATAGAACCCAACTCCCGACACATAAAAAAATAAAATAAAGAACACACACAACTGAACTTACATCACTAGAAATACGTATATATTGACATTCATTAAACAATAGTGACAAACACTAGAAAAGTAAAGACAAAAATGTTTTGTATTCCTTCAAAAACTACCATTCTTTAAGGTCAACTTAAAACATTAAAAATATAAAGTAGAGACTAAAGGATACAAAAACCTAAAAACTATTTCTGGCAGCAATCCAAGTTAAATCCATTCATGCATCTTCAACTTTCTCGCAATTTGCAATTCAAAAATTAATTTGCAAGATTGACTCAGAAATGAATGAATTTACAAAGCACCACTCTTTCGAATACATCACATTAGCTTCAAGTCCTACAAAAAATGATGAAATTCTTTTCTGATCACCTGAAGTACAAAAATCTGTAAACCACATATCGTGAGATTCTCAATGCAAGTAATTTTATTAAATGAATTAAATAAACATAAAATGCAAATGATATCCTACAAAATTTTCTTATACTGAAATAAGTTCAAGAAATACATTCTTATACTGAATCATAAGATAGGAAAATTAGACAAAAGAAAGGCATAATTAAAATCTGTATGATTTAATATTCATAATTGAACACTTAATGAATAACGAATGAAACATGCTTTCCATAAATACATTTTGAACTAAAATATAGTTAACATATAATTTTTCTTTTAAATTTCATTTAAAACATATCTATTGTTTAAATAATATTTAGCACATGAAGTATGCAGAGGAAAATGTTGTGAGCTGCCATCCTGGTGAAAAACGTTTACACATTCAGTTTTTGTAAGCTCGCTTTATGAATGGTTTAGTGGAATCATTAAACATCACAATTTTGAGTTTTTCAAGTTGACCATACCCCAATTCTCATTAAGAAACCCTTTTCCCCATTCTGAATTAGTTTACATTTCCATATGTCAGGATAACACCCAACTGAATGTCTGTTGATTTGCAAAAGTTTGCCAAAATATTATTTGAACTGTATCACAAGGGAGCTCCATATATAGGATACTTGGCAAGTAGCAAGCAACTTTACACTGAATCCTAAGAAATGTGGATGAATTAATTGCTATTTGCAAAGTGATGAATATTCGGTGCTTGTCCTACAAATAGCATGTTGGTCTTTTGGATACATCAAAGGAAGTGAAAATTCACTGTGCACATCAGCTGCTCAGGATTGAGCATGCAATAGCTTGCTGCTCGACAAATACTGAATGTGTGAAGCCATCTTCTCAGCTGCATACAAGTGACTTACAATTATTTCTCACTGAGCACTTCAAATAGTACTACAAGTGATGAGTTTCCTACCAGTGAAATATGGATTACCAATTTTCTCTCCACTCTTTATTTAATAAATACTTTTTAATTTCTGCAAAATAAGTAATCACTTTTTTATCATCAAATTTTAAAATTAATACATTTTAATATCTTATTCTTAAGAGATTATAATCACAAAAAGATTTCGATCTATTTATGATTATAATCTCTTAGAAACTGTTAGAATTCTAGAGAGGTATATACAGAATGCTCCTAAAACAGGTAGCCTTCAATCACACTGTGGATATTAATGATGCAAACAACGTTAAAAGAAATAGTTTTATATCTACAGGATTTTCCCCATTTTTTCCCAGAGCTCCGTATCCGAAATTAAATCTGGTAAGCCCACATTAAGAGTTCCCTTTCTCTTGGAAGAATCCCAAGAAAGCATTTGTTTCTGCTTCTGATGATTGGTCATATCAACTATGCAATTTCATCATAAGCACATACACTCATGGTCAGACACCACAAATCACTTGAAAGATTGTCCACATTGATCTTTTACAATACTGCATACATTTCTAATCTTGTTTTATATCTTTGTTATTACAAGTATCTCCTTCTAAGGGTTATCCGTAAATTACATAGCGTAAATTTACAGAATTTTTTATACCCCCTCTCCCCACCCATGCTCCCATAACATGTACTTGAACCCCCTCCTAAATGATTACATAATGCTTGGAACAATACTCCCTCACTCCCTCCTTGTAAATGCAAGTAGTGAAAATAAATTACAGCATGGTAAATATTTTCTTTATAGTCTTACAGATTCAATGAAAGTATTTAAAAAATATTTCTATTATTATAAAAATTGGTGGGTGAATGTGTAAAAGGGAATAAGTCAAGGTTTTGTCCAAAACGATTATGCTAGAACATTGCTTTACTACAATACTATCATTGTGTATAGGGGAAAAGTGATATTTCAGTTTACCCATTAAACTTTATTGTCAATATTGAAATGTAACTTATTTCCCCATACACAATGATAGTATCGTAGTAAAGCAATGTTCTGGCATACTAATTTTGGACAAAAACTTGACTTCTCCCCATTTACATCCAATAACTTGAATACATTTATGTTTTTAAAACAAATTAATTAGTTAATATTTTAATGTTTTAGTATAAGACAAAAAATAACTATTTCAGCACATGTTGAAAAATAGGAAGAAAGACCAATGTTATATAACACTAAACTAATAGCACCATACCGCTATATAATACTGCCTCAAACACCCTTCCCCCCTCTTTAACATTATGTAATTTATGGACAACCCCTAATGAACAAAGACAATTTCAGTATTATCTTCTTCATTTCAACCAATAACTGTAGCTGCATTGAAGGTCACTTGCTTTCTCTCTCCTGTGTTTTAGACCAAACATAAAAAGTTTTGAGTTAATTTCTCTTTACTTATAAAACTTTTTATGGATGTATAATAATAATTAAAATAATAATCAGGAAGGGCATGGATATAGCCTAAACCACTTAAATCTAATTGGTGTCTTTAGTTAATCTCAACAGATTTAACCCTTAAATTGTCAAAGTATTTTGTATGTTACATAGTTTTACGGATATAGTATCTTCCATGACAATAATTTTTGTTGTTGTTTTTGTCAATTCATTTCTTACAGAATCTTACAGCCTCTGTCATATATAATGCAGTGGTGCACTCTACTGACTGCTGTGGTTAATGGCATGGTAGTATGAAATGGACTGTGAATGAAGAAATTCTCCACCATTTCAAGCACTACATATATAATTAAAATCTGCTTGATAGTTAACGTTTTGTTTTTGTTCATTTGTTAAAAAGTAATTTGGTCATACGTTACTCAGATATTGGGCCCTTAGAACTTGAGAAACACAATCAGATTAATTTTTTAATGGAAGAGAACATAAAATTTCTGTACATATCACGCCAGATATGTAACAAAATAGAGATGCACAATTTTGAGTTCAATATGACAACATAAATTTAAGAACAAAATCTGTGTGTACAGTGGATAAATAAAATACTGTTGTTTTTCAGAGCATGACTTTTTAAGTTTGATAGTCATGTAAAATAGGGATTTTGAAATGAATTGGTGAAAAAATATACGAGTTAGAAACTTATTACTACAAGTTGAATTAATTGCAAACAGTAGATTCTGAAGGTTTGGCAAAATACCTTCAAATGTATTATTATTTATGTTAAAAGTTAAGATTTTTAACAATAGGAATTACTTAACTGTACTCCTGGAGTTGTTTTAGACATTTTTTGTTTTGCCTATATTAGCTTCTGATATCCATTTCTAGTATTTTGCCTAATTTTGGTAGTGTATTTCCTTTTATGTCATTAATTTCCCTTTTTCCCTAGCACCAATCTCAATAAGCCAGAAACATACCTGTAACCCTGGAAAACAAAAGCATTGTTGTGTTTTGTCTTTGGAGGCTCTACAACAAGAAAAAGTTAAAAAGCTAAATGAAAAAGGAAGGCGATAAAGTCTAGATTTTTGTATTTCTTTAATTGTTGCTGATGGACTTTGTTCACTTACAAGGAATCCTTCCCTACCTTCAAATATGTCTCTGATCCCTTTCAGTGATAGATCTCTCTGCCCAAGCTACACAATGCTGCCCTTCTCAGCGCTGGTATTACACAAGTGTAAAGAAGGGGGGGAAAATGTTTTCACTGATGCCTTTCCAGGAATTAAAGCCACAAGAGCATTTCTTAGAGACAGTATTACAAATGAAACAAATATGCATCCATCATACTCAAATTTATCACACTAAGAATAATTTTCAGAAATTTACCTGTAAAATAATCTTCCTGATAGCCATCTGGTGGTCATGTATAATCAAAATAATGGAAAAGATAGTTTCTTTCCGTGTGAATACTGAAGTAAATTTTAGAGTTTGAATAAAAATTTGAATAACTTTAATTATAACTTTTTTAAACTTAATTCCTTTTAAATGATGATTTTTTATTGTTTACATGCCTTTGTCATCTCTATTTTAGCCAGATTAAATGCCTTTTTGCACACCTATTTCAATAAATATTAATGCCTTTTTGCTGCCTAGTTTAGGTAAAAATCAATGCCTGGACTTACAGGCTCTAATCAGTAATGAGATGAGTTACACGACATGTCTTCAAAAGAAGGGAAACTTGACTTCACTGCTCATTAACTGTGCATACAGATATTTGTAATATATAAGACAACTTTAATATAACTGATAATTTATAATAGTTATATGTATACGATACATAATAAAAATAATACCCAATATAATAAACATGTGATGTGCAATGTAAGAAATTTTTGATTAAAGAAAACAAAAGAATTTAAAATATTAAAGAACTTTTGCTCATAGTATGTTTGATTGATAGTAAACCATTACATTCCCACAAAATATGCCATTATTGATAATGCACCTCTCTAGATACATAGTTATTCCTAGGGGAACTTGGCAATGTATCTTGTGAGATATATAAAAATTCTTGAGAATAGACAAGAATAACATTATTTTCTTTTTGTGTTCCCAACAACAGAAAATAATTTTTCCTTCCTGTAGATATTTGCTTGCCAAGTTCAGGGTTAATTTTACACTTTAAATATAACCTATAAACTAAAATGAATGCAACATCACCAAAATATACTTGATGATGTCACTTACAATTAACTTAGAAGAACATAATGATATCATGTTTACTCCAATTAAATAATTATACACATACTCAATTTGTTTAAAATGCTTATTCATTATTGTAATGATATAATGTTGCAATTATTGTAATGATTAATAATGTAGCTCAAGTAATCTCTTGCTGATCTTTTTTCATCTTTTACTGAAGCTAATAATATACCAATATTAAAAGAGCAGGAAAAAAAAAAACTAATTAAAATCTCCTAGTTACAGAATAATTGAAGTTGCCTTTTAGTTATGTTGTGAACATCTTTAATATTCCAACTGAGCTGTCAAACTTCATACTATCATCAATAATAAATTTACGTTCCACTCAATTCTTTGTAACAGCACAGTCTTGGAATATTTTTCATTGCTGTCTCCTGTTACCTTACATTCTACAATGAGTTCTACAGTGAATTTCAAAGAGTTGATTTTACCTTTTTTAACCTCAATAGATATTGAATATTATGCATACTTGATGGAGATAAAAAGTAACTGCTGCCAATAAACAAATCATTGCAGTGGTTTGTATGTTATAAAACTCAATCATTCACAACTCAAAACCACTCTAATACAAACTCGTTACTTCTTGATGTTTTACTATATAAATATATTGACATTTTGTAAAATCTGAAAAATGTACACCATACTTATTATTTAATTTATTTACATGTAATGAATTCATATGGTTCAATGCAATATTTTCAACCAGCAAGTTACCTACGCAGTTTTTTATATAACAACAAAAGTTGAGATATTCATCAGAATGAGTTTTAAGGAATGACTTGCAGCATTTTCATACAACATTTTCACTTTGATTATAAAATAATTTGGAAAAGATTGTTTAATACATTTTAGTACACTTACAGTAACTGTATTTTTATGAACTCTTGATTTCATAGAACTTATTACAAAAATGCTATTTGTTCACTCATGAAAAGGAAAGGGTGATTTCATGGTACAGTTAAATTGAGTAGGTAACTTATTGTTAACTCTTTACAAATTCTATGAATTAACTTGTCTCATTCAAACAAATCAAGCCAATTTATTAACTTTCATAATATTAAAATAATCAACATTTAAATAAATTTAGAAAGCATTTTGTCAACATTTGTTTAATAATTTTTTAAATCGCTCTTGAATACATATCAGACAAAGGCTAGTACCCAGAAATGTCTTAAGAGGAAGGTCTATCTGAAGTCATTTCTATTACAATAATATAACCACATAATATTATGACAATTCGTTTTAAAAAATTAAAATCCTAAAAACCTAATGATTTTTTAATTATATTTCTTTTCAAATATCAGTACAACTTTATATCACTTATGACATTTCATTTCAAGAAAGAACTCCAACTATTCTCATCTGGGTATATCCTTGAACTAAAATGACAGCAACAATGTTACTTGAAAGCCTTTTTCTTTTTCGTGTAAGACACAAAGAACATACAAACCGTTTACAATTGGTAAATTACCACTAAATAAAAGCCCTTTTGTGATATGAATGCTTCCTTAGAGCCAAGGAAAGTCTACAGAAGCGAGAATCTACATCAAAAACTGTTTCTTCCCTGATCAAACCCATCTACTAAGTCAAGCAAGTAAGCAAGGCATTAGAGAAACCATTGTTTTCTAACACCTAATGCACAAGGACAAGCAGAGATTTCTAAATACGATTCTACAGTGAAATTTTGTTGTAACGCTCCTGAAAACATGCAGATATTACGCTTCCATAATTGCTTTTACAAAATCACAGTTTGCAATCTGTGCAAAACATTTTCTCTGTCTTGCTTCTCCTTTTTCCCCCCACAATGCCTGCTGACATACCAGATAAACACACAACATGCATTGAGCAACTACAAGATAAAACTTCTCTTAGAAGAAAAAAAAAAGGAGAAGAGAATAAAACTTTTTTCCATTGGCTACTCACAATCTATCAGCAAGTGTCACTGGGCACTACTACTTCAGATTGTGCTGACATGTCTTTGCTTTTTCTCCTTTCTTTCGAGCATAATTCGGATTATTGTTTTTCTTCCTGAGAAACGTGCCTCAACTAACTGAAATCATATTCTGTTAAAATATGGCAACTGTCAAAACGTCTGGCCTGTCATTATCACAGAAGCACTGACATATAAATGCACTGTGGGCAGAGATGATGTTCTTGTTTGAGAGTTAGTGGGAAGATAATTGTGAGGGAACAAGTTTTGTTTCCTTACTTCTTTTACCTAGATGATCATTCATGAGATCAATTAAAAAGGTAAAAGCATTTTTCTTCTAGCAATCTGAAACCTATGCCATTCAATAGTAGCTAAAACTTGTGAGCTGATGGAGATTCAGAGGTGATATCACTGCACATGAAGGAGTGAAACACATGAACAGAAGCTGATGCAAAACTGCACAAATGTTAATTGTAGGTGATTAAAAACTTTATTACACTTCACAATTTATTATTTTGAAAAGAGAACATCGTTGAGCAGTAAGCATCTGGATAGGTTAGTAAAACCCATCTAGAAAAAAGTATACTGATTTGGTAATGAAAACTTGTTACTTGTACAGTACAAGTTTGCACAATTTTCATAAACAGATTTTACAATAACTTACACTGCAATTGTTTCAACAACTGCAACCTAAAAAATCATACACAGTGAAAAAGGTCTTTCTTGTTTCTATGTTCTGTATAACAAAGGCATTTCACGAAAATACTTAATAGGATGATTCAAATGAAGGTGAGAACGTTAGTGCCAGAAAAGCTCACTAAGTTCTTAGCAGGCAATATCTCCAATGGCTGCAGTGATTGTTCACTGCACATCTGCAGAATCCACGTAAATTCCTTTTGCTATGAGGCCTTGTGATGCCAATAACAACAAAGCCAACCACAAACAGTCTGAACGTAACCACAACGGGATATTGTTTTATGAGGTGGAAGAAGTCATTAACAGACCATTTGTTGTCAGCTGAGAAAAGGTAGCATTCTCAGAACAATGCTTTCTCAATGAGGTATGTTCTCTGAAAGACTAACACATCCCCATGAAGCAAGTCCTCAGAAACCCCATGTAGCACCTGGAGAGCAACAAGTAGGACGTTGTCAAAGGCAGGTGCAACAGGTTACATGAAGGTCTTTTGGACTCTTTGTACTGCTCTGTGCAGCAAAAGTAATGATTTGCTGACAGAGTTCTAGTCACTTATTGGCATATAAGTCGTCAGAACAGTTAGCAGAGCGCGGGAGTGTTCCAGAACATTTGGAATGTTGTGCAACGGAGCTATTGAGGCAGCATCGAAAGTTTTGAGAAAAAAATCATACTTGTAACAACAATCCCTCATTTCCCTTACTTAGGAAGAATTCCATCAATTAGCTAATTCTATGACAAATGATTAAACATGAAAAATTAGAAAAAACTAGTCACGTCATGTGATACACAAGGCAGTTAAAAACTCATTCTTTCTGCTTTGTTTTACAATAGGAATCACGGACTATATATCAAAATGAGTACAAAAATTCTATTTAAGTGTATCGTCATACTCTTCTAATGTTTAAAAATCTGTCGAGAAACAATCCCTCAAACAAGGGTCTGCGAAACCCCGCAACTGTTTGCCAACTGTGCACACCGTGTAGCACTAGCCCGGTAATAATGCCCAGGTTCCTGTTTTAAAAAGATTCAAAAAATTTTAACTTCTTTTAGTATCTACCCGGATTTATTTATCCAGTCCCAGATTTTCCAAAAGCGTTAAAACCAAATTTTACTGTATTTTCTAATTAGACAAGGCTGCTGACAATGAACGATTGCACACACAAATGTCATAACTCCATATAGTCAGTCAGAACTGTCTTCAACATCTCCGTCACTGTCTGCGTCGGTCTCGACCTGTGGTAGCGGGAGTCCCCTAGCGGCGCGGTCCTTCATAACCTTTTGAATGGCAGCAAAGGACGGATAGATGTAACAGTTGATGCCCAATGCATAATCCCGCAAGATATCATACTGCTTCTTTGTCAGCTTTGCTTTGACAATCAGGTTGTCCAAAACTTCCTCCGGCGTGTACGACACCGGTGCATTGCGTTTGGACATCTTGGGCCGGTTCTTGGGCTTCTCCTCTTCAGGTGGGATGTCCGGAAGAGATCGCAGGGTTCGGCCACCAGCGTCATTCCTTTCCCTCCTGGGGAATGGCTCCGCTTCAACTGGCTTAGGCGGGGGAGATTCTACCTTTGGTCCGGGCATTGTGTTGCCCTGCAGCCGGCTAGCAAGGTGACGGTCAGCACTCGCAACCAACTCAGCGGCTTTCATTTCAATGTTAAGCCAAACAGCGTTGCCACGCAAGAAACGGTCTTTCATCCGCTTGCACTGCTTCCAACGGGTCATGCACCGTGAGAAGAACCGCGACACCTCCTGGCGCACATGGTTCTGTACGTGCTGCGGGGCTGTATCGAGCTTCAGAGTAGTCAGAACGTGGTCGGTAAGCATCTCGCGCGTTGCAGCTTTGTTGTGGATCATTTCAAACAGATCCCTTCGTGAGACAGTCAGATTGGAACCTTGAACAGGAAAGATTGCATCATTGAATAGGGATGAGAAAATACATAATTAATATAAAATAGCTCCAAATTTTATTTTATTTTGATTAATTCTTGTAAACTATAAGTTACAATGGACTCATAAAAACTCATGTTCAACTGGCAACCCCTGAACTGCATGCGGCCTTGCGGTGCAATTTATTGAGGCCCACAAACAGTTAATTGTAAAAAGTGAAAGTCTTGCATCCATGTCAATCAAGAACATTGTGTGCCTAATGCATATGCCCTGACAGAGTCAAATAACAATTTGCAAAAATTGATGGTTAGTATATTATATGGAGGGTGTGCGGGTAAAAGGCAATAAGTTAATTTTTTGTCCAGAACAAGTATGCTAGAACATTGCTTTACTACAATACTATCACTGAGTATAGGGGGATACACAATGTTTTGTAGTAAAACAATGTTCTAACCTACTCGTTCTGGACAAAAACTTGACTTACCCCTTTTTACACACGCGCCCTTTGTATGTAAAAATAGGTTTTACATGCGCGCCCTTTGTATGTAAAAATAGGTTTTACACACGCGCCCTTTGTACTTAAAGGATTTTTTCCCTAGTAAATTCATAAATTCAAAATCATTCCAATGTGTTTCATTGCATTATGGATGGTATGGCCTGATATGTGTGGTTCCATTCTCCCTGCTCCCCTGTTTCAGATTAGCCGAGCAAACTGTCAAGATCAACAATACGAGGAAGTCAGGTAAACAGATCACCTGAGAAATGAAAATATGGCCCGCAACCGTGTTAAAGGATTTAGGTTAAAGGATTAGCGCCCGAGGCCTTGCAAGTTGGTTACCCCTGAGCTATATATATATGATAATTCTTTACACATTAGTTTATTATATTATTTTATTAATAGACAGTCTCTTGGTACAATAATACTTTGCTGACCATTGATTTAGTAAAGCGCATCTGAAGTTTAGTTTCCAATGCAGTCTCACATAGGGAAACAGTGATACGATATCAACCACTCTACTCCACCACAGTCAGCAGTTATAATCGACATAATTAACACCAACAAGAAATTGCTAAAACAAAACATAGTGACAAAGAAAATGAAAGTGCAGAGTGAATCTCAAAAGCATACCTTCCAAACACGGTGTGATGCCTCCACTGGGACCTCCACTCGGGACACTGCTGTGGGTGGTCCAACAACCAAATCTGTCCCTTCCTACAAAAATGAAATAATTCTTGGGATATCAAAACCATTTTGTTACAAAAATATGGGTCATAATAGTACAGAAAGTAATCCTGTTAAGAAAGCTCTTGTTTATCAAAGATTATCGATCAAAGTTTATGAAAAAGCCCAAAAGCCTAAAGTCAGTTCCACACAAAGTACGAACAATCTCAAACAGAAAAAAACACACTTGAAAGAAACTGAAAAATGATCAATTCAGAAATAAACAGGTTGGAGAAAAACATCTCATTTGAATGATAAAACTTAGTAACATAAAATAAACATTAATGGGAGAGAAAGTACATCCTATGCCAAAGCTTGCTAACACTTGGAAATATTAATGTAATTTTGTCTTAGGGAAATATGTTGAACATATGTTTTCCTTTTTATTTTGCATATTGTTACTAATAATGTGGCATAATTTCCAGAAGACAACCCATGTACATAATCATTATGCAATATAGCATGGTCCAATTTAAGATCTTTATTACATCAGAAAGATCATGGCATTAAGAATTCAATAGATAAAAAGCAGGATTTATTGAGTACCTTGGGGTTGCATTTCAACTGGAGGTGGTACAAAGTATGTTTGTTGACCATACATCGGTGGTCCTCCATCTGGCAGGCTCCAGTAGCTTCCTAAAAACACAAATTATTCAAAAACATGAAAATAAAAACAAAATAAAACAAAACAAAAATTCTCTGATTCTTTTAATAACAAATGAAGGCATTCACGGCCAGAATCCATGTTACCTTGGCTGTTGAAATACTGCATCCTGGGCACAAGTGCTGATGATTCGGCCTTTATTTTTAATTTCTTATTTATTTATGCTAAAAACAGCAAAATTCAAAACATCATGTTTGGCAGGGAAAAGCTATATTTATTTTCAGGAGGTAAAACAAGGAATCATCTCAGCATTTGCTGTAAGGATCAAAGGAAAGTCAACAAGATCCCTTTGAGCTATTTCGTAAACCTGTATCTCTTAATAATATTTATTACAGCTTTATATTAGCAATTTCAAAATTTCTTCTCTTTCAAAATGATTACAATCAATAAAATGCATAAAGACTATTTTAGAAAATTCCCCACAGTAAACTACACAATTTCCTCACTATGTCTGACTAGAAATTTTTGTATTTTATATGAAGATGAAAACACAATTTTATAAGTTTGAGAACCAATGAACTTTGGCGCAAACTGAAAGCATGTTAACTTTATGAATTGCTGATGTGTTGAATGTGAAAATAACATTTCCTATGCCCTATTGTATATATTTTTTCTTAAAACCTCAAAACAAATAATTTTTGAAACTCTTCTCAATGAATAAGGCCAAGAACTGCACAAGAGGCATTTGTAGAGAATTGCAGTCAAGAGAAACATGGCAAAAATGTGACAAAGTATTGTTGTTTACGTGCTACTTCACTAATTCTATTTTAAATTCATATTTAGCTTTCCATTGATTGGATGAACTGCACACATTCTTCAGGTAATATAAAATTTAATAATAAAAAAATTGAGAAAATTCAACAACATTGAGGTAAAATTTATGATTTGGCTTCCTCAAAACATGGTACATGATAAAATATTTGCAGATTCACTTTTGATGTTGGAACAGGCAGTTTAGTTAGAAGATTTACTTTCCAACAGAAGGAAAATAAGTTTTTGTTTGTTTCCTGAGTATTATTAAGATTACTCAGCTTGAATTTTAATGCAAGTATTCTTTAAAACAATAATGATACCTAACTTGAATTGTAAAGTTCCAACACGCAATTGGAGTATCATTAATTCTATGACTTATTTTGTGCCCATATATCTTGTTCATGACGGAAGAAACACACTCTTTCCTCCTACGATTCCTTCATGGCACATAGGTAGAATTGTTATTGAATTTCTTGTTAACCCCAATTCCAAGTTATATCCAATATAACTTAAAAACTTTAGATTGAGTTGCTAAGTTCCATACAATGTGTGATTCCCACTGACAAACTAATTAATTGCACTGTATGTGTATTTGTGTAAAATGCTGTGTACTTTTTATTCTTGGTCAACTACCGGCACCAATGAATGTATTAAATAAACAAATATCTTTACTTATCCATTAGGTTCAGAGATAAGCTCAGCAGCCTCAAAAGTATACAAACCGCTGTTTCGGAGTCTATCCATAAACCAAGTGTCAAAAGAAGTCGTTTTATTACAATTTTAGTATCCAAGCCCAAATGGCCTAACTGGGACAATTAACGAAAAGATGATGAAGATACAGAATGGAAGGAGACAGTGACCACGTGAGTGACAAGAAAACATGCCTTAAACCCAGTGTCCTCCCCAAAAAGTCCACATCAAGTGTCCAGAATTTGAATTGTGGCATACCCCAAGGTACAAAGCTAGTCCATGAGGAACTACACTTTTGGTTGTCCCTTAACAACAGAAGAAGAAGGGATCGGAACATTTTGCCCACATTACTAAGCCTGAACTCTATAAAACATTGTCTCTCAGCAATGCAGCTCCTTTTTTGTTAATCTGTGCTGGTTGTCCCCCTCTACCTCCCAAGCAAATACATTTGAAAATCCATTTAGATGCATTATTACAATTCTTTTTGAATTTCATGATGATGATGATGATGATGATGATGGCAGTGGTAGTGGTGATGATAACTGCTAAGCATGTGCAAGGGCAGAGCTCGTTCCTTTTACAACCTTCCTTTTCCTGGCAGATGATCACAATGGTGGTTTGTTTTGTTGCCAACTGAGTAAAAGATGATAGGTTTTATCATGAGGGGGTGATCAATGATTTGATGGTTCAGATGAAATACCAGTCAGAAAATGAAATCACCCATCTGGAAAACATCAATAGGGATGCAACATCTTCATCAATGTTTAAAAAAATGTATTTAACAATAACTTATTGAAGACCATGTTTTTTAACACTGATTTTTGGTTTGATGTTTATTAATGAAAAAAGTATCATAACAAAAAACTAGTTTTCAAATATCAATAAATTAAGACTGAAATTAATTAATCAGATCCTTCCATTCCCTTTTACCCTATTAACTTTGTAATTCACCTTTAAAATAATTTAGGTGTGAAAAATAAGTTAAACAATCACTTGAAGAATGAAGGAGAAAAACGTGTATGGGAAGAATTATAAAAATGAAAAAGAAATGTCATCTACAAGTTTTATATTATCCAATCAGATACCAGAAGTTAGCAGTTCTTATCATTGTTTTCACTTTGTTTTGTCAGTTAACTCCAGATTATAAATATTAGTAAAAATGATCACTGTCAAATTAAATTCCTCCTGGGTGAACATTAAATTAAACCATTTAAAAAAAATCAATATTTACAAATATAGTGTTTTTTAGTTGATGTACTATTAACATTACAATTTTCATTTTGAAAATAATGATTGGAAATTGATGTTTTGTTGGCCATTTTGCATTATTAATACCGGGGTTTTATGTGAGACTATAATCTTCAACCTTTGGCTATGGATACTGGGACGATACTCCATCCTCCTGCATCACCAAGGCTGGCCTAACATACTTTTCTAAAATCCTAAAATACTCTACATGTTCACCTTTCTGACCAGAACACATAATAAAAAGTAATAATGAATTTGAATTCTGGCGAGACAGTGTAATGGCTGAAGTTTCACAGCCCACCACCAACCCATTGAATGCACTTGCCGCTTCCCCTAGACAGAACAGTGATGGAGTTAGAGGCAAGGGAACCAGGGAGTACAGTTGATAAACCTGCCACAAATTCGCTTTGTCCACTGCAAACTGCATG